AACATTAGGTTGGATATATCCTGATCTTGTAACGATATATTCCGATCTATGAAATTCACATGATGATATATCCCCGATCTCAGTCCGAAATTTTCCTTTTTTCATATAGATCATATAAATTATTCTTGAACTTTCGAACTTAATAAAATTAAATTTTTCTAATAAATCTTAAAAAGTAAACCGTTAGAAATGTTTAGCTTATGCTATTATATTATTTTATCGGTTTCAATTTGTATTTTATTACTTAATACCTGACTTATAAAAATTTAAAGTCACATGATATTTTTGTGGTTTATAGGTGAGACGCACCATACTAATAAAATTTACGTTAAATGATTTTAAAAAAATTTAAATCGTTATTTTAGCCACAGTAGCCGCAGTTATTTTATAGATTTGGTTGGATTGATCATCTATTTTTTTTTTTAATATTCTGAAACTTTTTTTTTATATTTTCAGTCTTTTTGGACTGAATTTCGGCCTTGAACTTTAAAATAGTAAGTGAATTATTTTTTTTTTGTTTTTTTTACTCCGGGAAAGATAATATTAACACTTTTTTTCTTCTTCCTCTTTAGGGACGACCTTCTTGGAATGGATGTTGGCCTTGAACTTTGAAATGGTAAGCAAATTATTTTTTTTATTTTTTTTTTTACTCCAGGAACGATATTAACGTTCTTTTTCTTCTTCCTCTTTAGGGACGACCTTCTTGGACTGGATTTTAGCCTTAGACTTTGAAATGGTGAGTAAATTCTTTTTTTTTGTTTTTTTCTCTAGGAATGATATTAATATTTTTTTTCTTCTTTCTTTTTAGAAATAGTCTTGAAGATCTTGAGTAAATTGTAATAGGGGTGTTTATTCAAAATTAACTTTAAGAAACGTTATTGACGTTTCTTTTATACTACAGCAATAATTTTATTTCATACTTGAATTATTTATAATCATTTTAAAGTTTAATAAATTAAATTTTTGTTTTTTTATTTTTTAAATTATAATTATTTTGGTTTTGCACAATACTCATCTTTGTAAGGTTCATCAACGTATTGTCGAATTTTTGAATATAAGTAATTTTGTCGTTCTTCTGTTAAAGATACAGTAGTAATTAAATCAGGTTTACTATTTTTATTAAAATTATCACTTTTTAATAATTTATAACATGATTCTACACCACCGGATTCTTTTGATACATATACTTTACCAATATCTTCAGAGCTAAAACGAAAATGATGGAATTGTGTTATATTAGGGAGAGGTACAAAATGATTCTTAAAAAATGCACTAAAATCGTACCAATTCCAATTTATTCCGTTATCATATAAAATTGCTTCATTACCGTTTGATGAATTATTTATAATGTTTTTAACATCATTAATAGTATTAACTTTATGCTTCCAATATACTTTTTTAATATGACCAAAAAATGAGTCACATATGAATTTTGTATGACTGGGAATCATAAAATTAACCGTAATATCTTCATACCAATTAAGCATAACCAACCAGGACCAAAACCAAAGCGATAAATTGTTTTTATTCTGCCCAGTGCAGTTATCACAAGTAATTTGTAAATGTTTTTTTCCATTCTGAGCAAATTTTTGAAGTGAATTGTATACCATATTTATCGTTGTATTAGCACCTTTAGAAGTACCTTTTGGAAGTTCATTTTCTCCAATTACAAAATTCAATTGATGATTTTGCCCTCCTTCAGTTTTACAAACTCCAAAAAGATGCACAGAAAAAGCTGATTTAAAGTAAATGGAACTAACTTGTTGTGGTGAATATGGTATAAAAACATTTTGCGCCCAGTCATAGCATACATGTGCAATAGTTAAATCATTCTTACTTTTCTCAATATTATCATTATAATGCTGACGTTCAAGTTTTGCTAATTTTTGATGATTCTCATATTGAATTTGAACTTTTTCATGTTCATCTGCATCAGATTTTGCTACTTTTATTTTAGCCTTAAATCCCTCACAAATTTCACAAAGATCACTTGCTGGTGCTTGAAACTTAAGATATGGCATCATTTCAATCCAAAGTCTCCGAAAAGTATAATAAGAAATTATTTGGTTTGATTCATCATGTTCAGTATAATAATAATCTTTGTATTCTTTATAAACAGAAGTATATGTTCTATCAGTAGGAAGATAAATAAATATATTGGAATCATTTCTATGTCGTAATGGAGAGGGTAAACCATGAATACAGCTATATTGAATTAAAAATTGTTTTAATGGAAATGTAATCTCAGAATTAAGGAAGACTCTATTGTCAGTCATAGGTATACGTCCTATATTTTCATGAATACGCTCACTTAATCCTTCTGTATGTAAATGATTTTGTAAAGTACCAAAATGCTGGTTTACATAAAGGCAAAGAAGCATTATAACAATATCTATATCTTTGTGTATTTGAATTAGTATTATCTGATTTTTTATTAGTTATTTCAAATACCATAAGTTGAGCTTTAATTCTTTTTTATCTAAACTTTTTAATTCAATATATCATTCAAAAAAATGTTTAAATCCAACTTTTTCATAACAAGTTCGCAAATCCTTTTGCTTTTTAGAATGACGACATGTGCAATTTTGTTGTTCAAAAAATTGGGTTAAGTCATGTACAATATTTAATACTAGTTCATTATCTTCATATTCATCTAAACCTAACTGAACTAAATTATAAAATGGTCTTAACGTCATTATTGTTTTTTTTTAAAAAAAAAAAAATTATTAAAAAAAAGGGGGCAAATTATGCTTATAAATATGAGGTGCAAAAAGAATACTATTTTAGTTATAAAACATCATTCTGCATATTTATTTTATTTTTTAAAAATTTTTTAACGCTAAATTTATTTTGCCAAAAATTTTTTGTACAATGATGTGATATTGCATTTTCTGATTGGTTAATAAATTAAATATACAAATTTTGTGTAACTTGTGTAACAATATCTCAGAAGGTCATTTTCCTAGCAAAACTCGTATCAGGTAAAAAATAGTGTCATGTGATTTGATAATAACAATTCCGTTTTGGCCTACACTAGTGGATATTATAATTCGGGCCAAATTTATAACTCCGGCCAAAATTTTTTGCAGATCATTTCCTTTTATGTAGAAAATGTTACACAAATTTCCAAAAAAGGTTAATTTTATTTTCAGGAAAATCATTTTTTGTGGAACGGGTATCGCCAAAAATGGAAATGATCTACATAGCCGATCATTATCACGTGATGTAGATAAATTTAGAAACAAATTTTATTGGTCTTAATTTTTGATAGAATTTTCAATTACCATTTACTTAAAATCTAAAATCTAGTCTCAGAAGGTCATTTTCCTAGCAAAAAACCCATATAAGCAATCAGGTGAATATCAGGATCCCAATATGGCACTGATTGACCATTTTAAAAATTATACACATGTTTTAATGGTTATAATACAATTTCTTAAAATATATCATTAAAATTTAATACAATTATCAGTAAACTAATAAACTAATAGTTTATTGATATTTGTATAATAATAGTCCGATATTGTAATAATTTATCAAGAAGTATCGGTAGAAATTGATCTATCATTTATTTCATGGATCGATAAGCTTACTAATTATACATATACTTCTTTTAAAAAATGATATAGATGGTCATTTAATGATGACAGCAGTGAAAATTGGAGATAAAATTGTCTAATTTATGAAAGGAGGGTCTGATTAGGACCCCAGAAAATACTTATATAGGTAAGGTCCCAAAAATATTTTTTATTAGTAGCTCTAAGCACAGGTTTTTACTATGATCGCTAAGCATTGTTGATATCTAACCTTAAAAATTATATAAAAATAAGCAAATCAATCTTCTAACCTAATTAAATTTTTATTATAACACATATAATTTATAAAATATATTTATTAATTAATATATTTTATTAAATCCAATTTTAAATATGTTGTGAAGCTAAACTAAACATAATATACAAGTAGATTAACAATATTCAATTAATAAAGTTAATAAACAGTAAAAGAAAAATTCGAAATTAATACTATTACAAAAAATGTAAATTTCTCCATAAGTATTATACTTACACCCATAAAAATTAATATGTAGGTAGTTTCGACCTTGCTGAACAATTTTCAATTAATTTAGAAAGTCGATTTCATTTGACCAAAGAGGTGTAATTACGCTCTGAAGTTGTAAACGGAGAAATGAAAAATTCGGAAGTTAGTACCGTTATGAAAAATGCACTTTTCTCCATAGGTATTATACCCACACTCATGAAAATTAATATATAAGTAGTTCCGACCTTGCTGAACAACTTTCAATTAATTTAGAAAGTCGATTTCATTTGACTGAAGTGGTGTAATTACGCTCTGAAGTTATAAACGAAAAAGTGAAAAATTTAAAAGTTATTACCATTAAAAAAAATATGCTTTTCTATATAAATATCATACTTAGCCTTATGAAAATTAAAATACAAGTAGATTTAACTTGCTGAATAACCTTACTTAAGCATAAAAGATAATTTGATATAACCAAAGTGGTAAGTAGTGAAATTATATTTTAAAGTAAAACATATTTACAGTAATTTTATTTAACAAAATAAACATGTATAATATAGTAATTTTATATTAAAAATAATACACTGAGTTTAATAAAAATTAAAAAGATACTATTGAAAGATAATTAAAAAAAAAAACTGAAATTCCATCAAAAAAAATTTTTGTTTATATATTTATATAAAATCGTGAAATATAGTACAAAATTAACACTTACCGTTAGTGAAAATAAATAAAAATTAATTATAAATTCAATATATAATAATTTAAAAAGTTCTATAAATATGAAAAATAAGCAACTAGAAACTCTTAGTATTTTAAAATAGAAATAATTTATTTATCGCACGTGCGATGCAAATTTTTATGTTTATCATTGCCATTTTAAGGGGGGTGGCGATGTATAAGCAGGTTGATCAACATAAATAATTTACAAAAAAGGAAAGTGGCGATGCATCGCACGTGCGATGAATAAATTTACTCTTTAAAATAATACCAAAAATATGCAATTTAATTATCTTACATAGTATAAAATTTTCTTAAAATTAAGCATTATAAAATTCTTACATCATAAAATTTTTCTATGTTGGCTAAGCACCTTGGTACCTTACATATATAAGCATTTTCCGGGGTCCTGTCTGGTTGGAAAATTGTTAGTATAGATGTATTAAATATTGAGACGTGTACTTACCATTGAGCAGAAGGAGGCTCATACATTCTCACACCCAAGGCACTTGCAAATAAGAAGTGTACTATTAATCCGGATAACAAATATCTCATAAATCCAGATATAGACTTACCTCTGAAAAATGTTTGCAAGGGGCTTTAGGTGCTTACTTTGCATATAAAGATGGATATACACAAAAACTTGAGCAAATCTTTCGGGCAGAAAAATTTGAGCCATACTTGGAACAAGTCAATCTCAATGCCATTCTCATACCCACTCCTGTTTGTCTACGTATATTTAGCAAGATTGAAGACTTCAATCCTGAGATCTCCATTAATGTATGAAAATGGAAGAGGAAAACTGGAATTCCAAAACCTGTTATTGCAAGTAAGAATTACAACTGTCAGCATATCATTCACCTCATGGCTTTTACAGATATTACAAAATTGGATGAAAGAAAGTACAGTCAGAAGAACACTTCCTTTAGATTAAGAATCCTGATGCTTTAATATACAAAAATACATCCCACAAGTAAGGATAGGTCCGCAAATAATTTTTAAATTCTGCAATATTGCAGAATTTGGAGTTGAATTGTGGTTAGTAGCTCACAATTCTGCAATTCTAATTGCTGCCTATAACTGTCAGTTTCGTACATTTATAAAAATGCCAGAACTATGGGTTCTGGCGTTTTCTTTTAATTTTTTTTTACATAAAAATGCCGGAACTATAGGTTCTGGCATTTTCTTTTGATTTTTTTTTACATAAAAATGCCAGAACTATGAATTCCAGCTACATAAAAACACCAGTACTATGGTTCTGGCATTTTCTTTTAATTTTTTTTACATAAAAACGCTGGAATTATGGTTCTGATGTTTTCTTTTGATTTTTTACATAAAAATGCCGGTACTATGATTCCAGCATTTTCTTTTGATTTTTTTCACATAAAAATGCCGGTACTATGGTTCCGGCGTTTTCTTTTGATTTTTTTTACATAAAAACGCTGGAACTATGGTTTTAACATTTTCTTTTGATTTTTTTTACATAAAAATGCCAGAACTATGGTTCTGGCATTTTCTTTTGATTTTTTTACATAAAAATGCTGGAATTATAGTTCCGGCATTTTCTTTTGATTTTTTTCACATAAAAATGTTGGAACTAGCTATAGTTCTGGTGTTTTCTTTTAATTTTTTTCACATAAAAATGTCGGTACTATGGTTCTGGTATTTTCTTTTGATTTTTTTATATAAAAATGCCAGAACCATTTCCGGCATTTTCTTTAATTTTTTTTTACATAAAAATGCCAGAACTATAGTTCTAGCGTTTTCTTTTGATTTTTTTTACATAAAAACGCCGGAACTATAGTTCCAGCATTTTCTTTTGATTTTTTTTACATAAAAACGCCAAAACTATAGTTCTGGTATTTTCTTTTGATTTTTTTTTAATTTTTTTCATGTAAAAACACTGGAACTATGAGTTCTAGCATTTTTTAAATTATTTTTTATATAAAAACACCAGGACAATAGGTTTCAGCATTTTTTTTAAATTTTTTTATATAAAAATGCCAGAACTATAAGTCTTGACGTTTTTACTGGAACTATAGGTTCTGGCATTTTTTTTGACTTTTTTTATTAAAAATGCCAGAACTATTGGTTCTGGCGTTTCAATTTTTAATAATAAAAGGAAATATATTTTTTAGTAGTTAAATTAAAAAATTATATTTCATTAAAAAAAAAATTAGTTTTTTTTGCAGATATTCCACAAATTCGCAACTATTCAGCAATTCCACAAATATTCCGCTATGACACGCTACCCATAGGATATTAAAATAAAATATTGTATGTTGCTACCAACGTGTTGAGTTCGTATAACATCTATGCTTGGTTTAAAATAAAAATTAGTTATAAAACATTAATAAACTATTAATTAAAAAAAAATAATTAATGTGACACTTTTTACTCATAAGAAAAAGGCTAAAAAAATGTGTTAGTTTATTATTAAGGACGAACTAAAATTTTTATTTTCCAAAAAATTGAACTGCAGAATTTCTATCGAAATCCACTTGTATTTATACATTTTAAGAAAAAATATTTCTAATACTTCTATTTTTTCTAATAAAATTTGAAGATCTATTATCATATGATTATCTTGTTACACTAAACTAAACTATAAATATAATTTTATTGGCTAATTATTTACCCATCGGTTAATTATTTATCCTTTGGCTAATTATTTATCCTTATTCTATATTATCGTATTTTCAGTTATTACATTTATCCTCCTCTTGAAAAATTTATATCCCATAAATTAAGAATCAAATTTGGGTCTCAAACATATTATATTATTATATATGGTTCAAATATTTCCCTATCAAAATATTCCTTTAATAATTCTCCATTTACTGGTCTTCTTAAAATTCTTCCATTTAATTCTTTAATTTTGTACGATCCATTTATTATTACTTCATGTATATAATATGGTCCCTTCCATTTTTTT